GGTTGCTGGAGTAGTGAGCGGTGGGAGGGATGGGGTGGCTGGGTGATAGACATTGGGTATGTGCTATGGTGAGCACTGTGAATTGTGTAAGACTGTTGAATCACAGATCTATACTTCTGAAACAAATACTATATTATATGTTAAAAAAAAAAAGAAGATAGCAGGAGCGGAAGAATGAAGGGGGGAGAATCAGAGGGGGAGATGAACCATGAGAGACTATGGACTCTGAGAAAAAACTGAGGGTTCTAGAGGGGAGGGGGTGGGGGGATGGGTTACCCTGGTGATGGGTATTAAAGAGGGCACATACTGCATGGAGCACTGGGTGTTATACACAAACAATGAATCATGGAATACTACATCAAAAACTAATGATGTAATATATGGTAATTAACATAATAAAAAATAAAGAACTAAATAAAATAAAATAAATAAAATAAAATTGTGGAGTAGGGTTTCATTTGCCATCAATTCCACTCACCCATTTCTGTACATCCCTTCCAGTAACCTCTATCCTTGCACCATACTCTTTCTAATGCATAAGGCTTAATCCCAACAAATTCCCAGGATTAGTGTCCCTCCTTAATAATGAAGTTGACATTCATATCATCTCCTTCACCTCCAGCTAGAGATTTCTAATAAAACAGAAGTGGTGAGGTTAATTGGGAGTCCTGTCTGTAATAGCAGTTTGGATGGGGAGGGAGGCCAGCAGTCAGGAGTCCCCAAAAGTAAGCACAAGGAAAAAAATTTTACTATTATTCCTCAACTTAACCAAGTTCTTTCCAAAGTACCTCACAAAGTACCCAAAACAAAATGACAAGGTATCCATCAGAGATTTAGTACCTTTATTTGGAGTTTTACTTTTTTGGTCTCATGTATTATGAATTTAATTCAAAAGATGGGAAGACTACAGTAACATCCTATGTGGTGACAAAACTAATGGAGGGACACTGTTTAAACAAGTGGATGTTTCTAGAACTTCCATTGCACAAAGCAGATGCTATGAAAAACAATTGAATTTTGTGGTCATGCAACCCTAATTATCTTTCCTCCCAAGATTCTTCTGATTTGGCTGAAGTGAGGCTGACATGAATCAATATATATTTATGTAGCATAGAACATATAATAGACTAGATATTCTAAAATGTAATTCTGCTTCATTAAAATCAACAAACATATTTTTATTGTCTCACTGAACTTCAGGAATAAAGAATCATAAGTTTTAGGAGGACAAAACCAAGGCAGTGAGCCATAAACTAATATTAGGATTGTATCATGCAGAAATACTTGTACCATCTTGTAGAAGAATAGAAATCCAAGCCTTGAGCCCTTGCCAAGTGAAGATGTTGAATCTGAGACTCTCACATGAAGCTTTAGTGAAAAAAAGACTAAAAAAGAATATCACCTAACAGCAAAGGGATTAAACATAAAACCTGTCCACTTCTGATGTAGCTTTGAATTGTAAAAAAAAAAAAAAAAAGTAACAAAAGTAATTACATGACATATGAAATTCATAGTACAACATTTCTGCTGAAACTTCAATCATAGGCTTGCTCTCATTCAGGTGTGCAGGTCAAACTTATACTCACTCTCTTTTCAGAAAAAAACAAAACAAAACAAAACAAACAAAAAAAAAAAACAAAGTGAGAACTTAAAATAATCCTAAATTGGTAGCACCTCTTGGTACCTGGTAGGATTAAATGCAAATTTTGCCTAGAGGAAGGCTTCCAAATTTTTGATCACCAATGTTTCTACAAATTAATTTCAACAAAATATGTGTTCACACACATAGACACACACACACATGAGAACAAGGAACCATAGGAAAGGAGTAGAAAACCAAAAATCACAGATTTAGGCCCCTTCAGACTTCAGATATTGGGATTATCAGAGGCAAAATGTTCAATAGCTATTAACATAATAATTAGACATAAAAATATAGAAACAGTAAAATGAGTGAGAACAACAGACTAAATAAACAGATGTGTTTGAAAAAGAACAAATAAAAACTTTTAGAAATAAAATGATAATTGATGAAAAATGTCTCAATGACTGGGTTTGATGAGATATTAGGGAGAGCTGAAGAGAGAATTAGTGAATTTGAAGATGGGAAAATCAATACATTGCCCAGAATTCAAGATAGACAAAAATATTAATAATAATGATATTTATTATAAAAGTACAGTAAGAAACATGAAGATAAAAATGTAAAATGTAAGATTTGCCTAGTGTGGGTCTAGAATAATTGAATAGAGAGAGTAAGAAAGAGGCCTGATTTGACATGCTGAGAATTTTTGAGAATTAATATGGGGATACATGTGAATAATACGTATGGTATAGATAGATACATAAGAGCTAATAAATAGATACGAAGAGGAAACACACACATCAAAGGAGATACTTTAAAAGAAATATACTATCAGACACAAGGCTATAAAACTGCAAAACACCTAAAGCAAAAAGAGGACCTTAAAAGTAGCTTGTGGGTGTTGGGGGTGGGGGTGATCAGGGCACTTTCAAAGGCAGGACAGACTGACAGCCAACCTTTCAACAGTAATAGCAAAAGACAGAAGACTAGAGTGATGTGCTGGTAAGGATTTAAATCTGACCCCTCAACAGTGGGAGAGACCTGTAGCATTTCTGATTTCCATAAACACTCCGAGTTTATCCAGTTTCAAACTGGATTATAACATTAGTGAATGCAGAATTGGGCACAGATGTGTATAACAGGTTCTTATGTGCTAGTGTGAGCTAGCTCCATCATATACCTGAATAATTCTCTCAATATCAAAAGGAAAATATCCTTTATTATTGAATTGTATTTCTAGCAAAATTATTTTCCACTAATAAAGTTGAGATAAAGTCCTTTATCAGATGAAGGGACACTTAGACAAAGAAACTCATAAGGATTTACTTCAGAAAGAAGGAAATTAAACCTTGTAGTAAGTAGAAAGTTATGAAGTATATGAAGGATTGAGGAACAAGTAAATTAGTGACTGCATTACTAAATCAAAATAATAGTGTCAGGGCACTTGAGTGTCTCAGTCCTTAAGTGTTCAACCCTGATTTCTGCTTGGGTCTTGATATTGGAGTTGTGAGATTGAGCCCCATGTCAGTCTCTGAGCTCAGCTTGGATTCTCCTTAGGATTCTCTTTCTCCCTCTCCCTCTCCCTCTGCCCTTCCCCACCCCTGCTTGCACTCTCTCTCTAAAAATAAATAATAAATAAATAAGTAAATAATGACAACAACAACAACAACAATGGTGTCAACATAAAATGATTATTAATAGGAGGCGGGATGGAAATAAGAAAGTAAACATACAAAATTCAATCTAGAGGTTGGTCAGGGGTGACTGGCTCATTCGACTGCCATTTTGGAAGCTAAAATTGACATTTTCCAGACCTGACTACAGTTGGGTTTCTGGACGTGCATAATGTTCTGGAAATTAAATAAGTTTATGGATCTGGAAGGCTGCAGTGAGACAGGAGTCATTTTTATGCCTCCTCAGCTGTTTCTACCGGCAAGTAAAATCATGGTAAAATGAAGTGTCTTCTGCCATCACTTTTCAGAGACCTTTCCTGCCTCCTGGGGAGGAGTACTGCAGGACTGGGGCCTCAGGGGCTTCTGGACTCTAGCCTCTCATCAGTGATGGCCTCAGAGCTAATAGCTTCCCATAAATCCCCTCACAACTGCTGAATAGTCATTCCAAAAGACTGCAACAAGAATTTACCAATACTGGAAGGGGTGCCACAATTTTGCAAGCAACTCATTTACAGTGTTAAATGCATTCTTGCTCAAAATGCCTAAAAAAGTTGAATGAATAGAAAATAAGGAAGCAGAGACAAATCTAGCCATACAAGCAACCCCAAAATGTAGAGAGGCTTACATTTGCCAATTTATAACCCAAAGATGGTCAGACTGGATAAAGTACAAAATCCAGCCATATGTTCTTCACAAGATTACACACAGGCTTAAAGAAAAAGAAAGATTAAGAATATGCTAATCATGGGGTGCCTGGGTGGCTCAGTGAGTTGAGCATCTGATTCTTGAGATCAGCTCAGGTCATGATCTCAGGGTCCTGAGATAAAACTTTACATAAAGCTCCCTGCTCAGTCTGCTTGAGATTCTTTCCCTCTCCCTCTATCCCCACTCCCCCTTGTGCTCTCTCTGTCTCTCTTTCTCTCTCAAATAAATAAATCTTGAAAAACAAAAAAAACTAAGCTTATCGTGATGAGCATTGAGCAATGTATAGAATTGCTGAATCATTATATTGCACACTTAAAAAGGATATGACACTGCATATTCATTATAATTGAATTTAAAAAAATAAAGAAAAAAGGGAAGAAAAAGAAAAATTGAAAGGAAATATATGGGAAAAGATAGACCACACAAATGAATCCAATTTATTAATAACAGACAAAACAGACTTAACCCCAAGGAGCAATTAATTTAAAAAGACCACTTCAGTATGAAAAAAAAATGTTCAATTCATCAAGATACAAAAATTTCTTAAAGACCCTCATTGTATATAAGATGAAAATTCACAGAACTTCTGGTAGAAAAAAAAGAAAATCTACTATTATAGGAGATTTCAATCCTCTTTCAACTGGTGAAGAATTAATGAAGAGATTAAACATTTGAGCAATCCAATAACTGGATAGCCCAAATCCTTAATTTCTTTAAGTAAAAATTAAGAAAATTTAAGTAAAAAATAAACATCTAAAATCAATTAATTAATTAGAAAGTAAGTAAATAATTATTTTACTCAACTTCTATGTTAATATGCCTTACTCAGGCTTCTATAAAGTAGATATAAATGCTAGCCCCAAACCCTGCCACATATATATCTCAGCAAGTCCTACACCAGAAACCTTGGTTTTAGATCTTGCATGTTATAGGAGCAAGAGCCTCCAGATTTGAATTGCCAACCAGCCCGATGGAAATTATTTATTTCTTCACTGATTTTAACAAAGCCCACTGGAAAGGAATGGGCAGGAACAAACCTTTGACTTTGCCCAAGGTGAGTGACCGTATGGCCCTGAATTCGACTTCTGGGGAGAAGTTGTAACTGAGTCGCAGTTGCTGATCTACCTGCAGGAAAACAGAAAACAAAGGTGCATCAGAAGAGGTCTGTAAGTAAAGGGCATAAAACCCTCCCATCTGGAAAGAGCTTGGAAACACACACAGAGCAGATCCCTCTTTGGGACTTTCTCTCTGGAGAGATGAGAAATGTCTCGCTAATTCTCCCACAATGCAGGCAAAATACTCCTTTCTTCCCTCTTGGTTAAATAAAGGCTTTCATACAAGTCTTCTCCCTGGGAAATTCTGTACAGCTTTAGACAGGTATTTATCTCCCCACTGAGAGTTTCTCACCAAGTTCTTTACTGCAAACAAGCAAACAAATGACACCTTCTTGGGACCATGCTGTGCAGGACTGACATTGAAAGAAAAGCACATACTCAATCCCCATTTCTCCCTTCTCCCCATTTGGCCCTTGCTGCCTCCTTTGCTACAATAATTCTAACCTGGTCCTTTTCGGGTGTGGATGGGGGATTTTCCTGAGCAAATATTTCAGTTTGACAAAAAGCTGGACCCTGGGGAGGATAGGCTAGCAGAAGAGTTGCCACCAACATGAACACCTGATAAGCACCCCTCACAGGGGTGAGCAAAGGCCACCACTGGGATTCTTTAGGACTTTATTTCCAGGATAATCCCTTAGGGCACCCTCTTTTTCTGGCCTACTGCTAATCCCAGCTCTATCCCCTTCTTCTCCTCCTCATTCCAAGACAGTGTTACCCATCCATTCCCAACCTTTTTGGTCTAGTCAAATCTGCAATTTCTTCTGGCTCTACACTGAACATTCACATGATATGAATAGGTAATTATGAACCTTTAAAACTGTATGCCCAGCCCCACTCTCCACTTGGAAGCAGCTAACCCAGGGTTGATACTCAATTTTCCTAGATCCCACGGTCCCTCCACCCACTTCTGCTCAGATTAACCATCCCCTAGAATCCTCTGGGTTCTGTAGTGGTTTCTGCTGTGAGAGAAGTCACTGGCTATGACTTCTGGTGCATGATTAGATACCTTATTACTATTTCATTTATGAAATGAGACTGGAATAATATTTGCTATTTATTGAATTCTGGGTATGTATGAGACATCATATTGAAGCATCTTTCAAAATATATGCCTCCCTATAATATTGTGAAATAGACATTATTACACCTGTTTTACAGACTAAGGAACTGATATCCTAGAGATCAATAACTTGGCCAGGGCCAGACAGTGTCACAAAGCAGTGTCTCTTTGTCATGTGGCCCACCCACCACTCTTTATGGTGTTTGCTTTATTTGTCCACACCTCTCTAGATATCTGAGCAACCCGTAGACAATCATTATATGTTTTTACTTCTGGCTTTCAACAAAACTTATCAACAAACATCTGAGAATCTACTATGTGCCAAACACTATTTTAGTGCTCCATGAGTCTACCTCATCCAGAAAGCTTTCCTTGAAGTCTTGGTTCGATCAGGTGACACTCTTCTCTATGCTCATGGTGGCTTTTTTTTCTGCCCCTAACTTGGAATTTAAAGTGCTGCATTATAATGATCTGCTTCTCTCTCTTTCTCCCTCCCACCCTCACTAAACTATTGCCTCTTTAAGAATTCAGACATCTTAGCAATATATGTTTTCTTTAAGACCTTTTACAGAAACTGGCAGAGTAACTCCTAACATGGGTTTGTTGAGTGAATAAATAAACATCTTGTATCGATTCCCTTTCTATCTTGGGGCTATGGTGACATAGTTGGTCACATCACCAGGATGCTTCTCACTGCCTGGTAGTCCCTACACTTTTAGGTACAACACTGGGGTTTGGTCCCCATGGTGCCCATCCACAATTTGTTTAATGCTCATGGATTCAGGTTGAGTCCTTGCCCTGAAGGAGTTTTCTTCTTGCCCTACTTCAGAGCTCTTTCCTGCCTCTTCTCACCTCGAAGACTGCCCCTTCCAGTAGGGGCGGGGTCCTCCCCTCCTGTGCTCTTGCCCAGGTTGGAGAGCATGCTGAAATGAGTGAGAGTTCCCGGTGGAGTGGAGAACAGTAGAAGGTTGAGCTGAGATGCCCCTAGATTCGGCCCCTCACCTGCTCCCCGGGGTCCACAAGATCAGCTGCCTCTGCAAGTTGTTCCTGAACCTTGACGGTTCCATGCGCGAATGTCACACATGGGAGAGCTCACTGTTCAAGCAGCTGAGTCATCCCTATTCTGCTCTTCTGTTTCGTGGGAACTCACCTAGTCTTTAGCACTTAAACCCGAGGACTAATGAAGGAGAGGAGGTGGGAAATGACACCCAGTTAAGGGAGTTTTAGGAAAACCATGAGTATTTGGAGAGGAAGGAAAGATGACTCAAACGATACTTGAGGTTACTGCTGGACTATGGATAGTCGGGG